GCCCTGCTCAGCATATATTTCAGTTAGGATCTTTCCCAGAGCAGCTCAACCTTGGAAGCACCTGGCCTCCAAAAAGAAGAGAGAAAGATCTGCATACTGTCATAGGAAAGAGGTCAGTGATCAACTTATATTTCTAGACCAGCAGGGCTAAAATGTCTTTGGTGAGCCCTAGACCCAGTAAAGGCAGTCCTTCCCCACGACAGCAAACAGATGCACTTTTTTTTTCTCCTAAAAACTCTGATGTTTACCATTGCTTTGAACTGTCTCAGCTCCCCAAAGTTCCAGGCCTTATTGATCCCAACCCTGCTAATCATTCTTTACTTCATCTAACTTCCCTCCTTCATCTTGGAACACTCCAATGAGGTAATGTGTGTGAAAGTCGCCACAAGATGAAATTCATTGACCCAGTAGTGAGGCATTCCTCTGTGCAAAGCACTCTCCAAGGCACTAAACAGACTCCATCAATGGTTAAAGTAAGACTCTTGCCTTTAAGGAGTTTACAATCTTGGGGAGATAAGGCATAAGATAAAAGCCTATAAAAAAGTCTACAACTTCAGAATCAAACAATTCTGACTATTAGGTGACTGGCTCTTAGATATACCTTGGCAGTACCACAGAACCCCTTGGGGAAGTCTAGCCAACATCCTCTCGGTGACTGATTCCCCGTCACTGGCTGCCTGGCAAACATGGAGGCCAAGAGAAGTGATTTCCCTTCTGGTCTCCAGCTAGCAAGGTCAGCCTTGTCTCAACTCAGTCCTTTCTGTCACAGCTGCCCTTTCTGAAATGAGACCACTGCGCATCTCATGGTGTTCCGGTGCCAGCTGCTGGCCGAGCTGGGGTGAGGAGAGCAGGTGGCCATGTTTCTGGATTCCTGTGGGGGCACAGCTTTGGCCTGGCTCCATCTTATTAGGGAGTCCCAGAACTTGGCTTGTTGAGATCCCTCGGCTGTCATCCTGTCATATCAGAGGAGCCTGGGGAATTTGGACTCTAGCAAAAACATGGTTTTTTCTTTTAATGATGCCTTTTAATCCTTTCTGAAAGCAGGTATCTTTGTTCCTCTGGCTGAAGGGAAAGATGACAGCATTCCTACAGACAACCGAGAGGAACTGTGACTGGTTTCTTAAGATTCTTTCAAATGTAAGGAGGCTGGAGAAAAGCTATTTGGGACGAAGCTGACAAGGAACATGGGGTGAATTTGGTTTTTGCCCTTTTCTTCCTCTCCCAGAATGCCAGTTAAGAGCTGACTACATTCAGACTCACCAAATCATTAAGAGTGGGTGAGCAGGCAGATTCACTCTTTGCAACTCCAAACAAGAAGCTTAGGGAAATCCTACCACAAGTTTCATCCACCTGGGAACTTTTTCTGTACTTTCCAAGTCAGGGGAGTGGAGCCTGCTACAGAATCAAGAGATTGTTGATTAATATTAATATTAATTATTGAGACTATTATTAACATTAATCAATATCAGCCATATTTTCAATTCAAAGAACCACAGAATGTCAGAAATCATCTAGTCCAATTGCCTTACTTCGGGGGTGGGGCACCTGCAGCCTTAAGGCCACATGTGCCTTCTAAATCCTTAATCCTTAGAAGACCACATGTGGCCTTCTAAGTCCTTTAGAACTTGTTCTGTAAAATTTGGATTCAGTCAAAAGGCTGCGCTTAAGGATTTAGAAGGCCACATGTGGCCTTAAGGCTGCAGGTGCCCACCCCTGCCACACTTTGTAGATGAGAAAAATGACAGTCCCATGGAGAAAGAGTGATTTTCCCAAAGTCACCTTGCAAGACAAAAGCCTAACCAAGGCCAGAGTCCAGTCTCCTCTCCTTCAGGCCAGCGTTCTTCCCATCCTGAGATGGGAGTTCAGTCATTAAAAGATTTCAGTTTAGTTCCTGGCACAGTAGTATAGTAGTTTGTTGAAAAGAATTCATCAAATTCAGCTGAAGTGAAGGAGGCAGTTCTCAACTATTTTCTGCATTTACCATCTCCTTTCAAGAGGGGGAAACACTCAAGAAGCTTGCCAATTATCTATGCATGTGATTGGGGTTTACAGGGTGACACAATGTCCCTGTACATATAATATGCTTAATGGATCTTTGTTGAACCAGACTGTATCTAATGACTTCAAGCTGGTGCTCTTCCATCCCCTGAGGAAAAAAATCCTCCAGTTCAGAATCCCCCAAGGAATTTCCTATTTCTCTCTAGGAGTCAGCCCTAGTCTGTACAGCATCTGAATATTATTGAGATACATTAAGATGACAATGGAGACCATAAATTCAGTCAAGGGACAAGTTAAGTCTGGGATCTATGGAAGAGAAGATTGGGACAAAATGGAACAGGGAAAGAAAAAGAAGAGAATGAGAGAGGAAAATAAGAATAAGAAGAGAAACTCCTAAATGAGACCAATATTTTCAACCCATATCTCTGATAAAAGTATGATATCCAAGATATAAGGAAGGGATATAAATGTATAAAAACAAGAGCCATTTCTCAATAGGGAAAGTAGTCAAAGGATGGGAACAGATAAGACATTTTCAAAAGAAGAGATGTAAACTATCAAATGCCAGATGAGAGAATGTTCCAATTTGACATTTATCTTAAAAAGCCAAAACACTATACAAACTCTTTGCCCCTAAAGAGGTCAATGAGGGAAAGTCCCATATTTAGAAAAATATTTATATCAACCCTTTTTGTATTAACAAAGAACTAGAAAGTTAAGTGATTGCCCATCAATTGTGAAATGACTGAACACACTGTGGCATACGAATGTAACAGAATATTGCTGTGCCATAAGAAATGACAAATATGAAGAATTCAGAGAAACTTGGGAAGATCTGAATGAACTGATACAGAGCAAAGTAAGCAGAACCAAGAGACTTCAGTACTCTGATTAATGCAGTGCTTTCAGAGGACTAACCATTAAGCAGACAGTTTACTTTTTGGTAAAGTGGTGGAATATAGTAAGTGTGAAATGAAGCACATGTTTTCAGACCTGGTCGATATGTTGACTTTTCCTTGTTTGACTATAATTATTATTTGTTATTAAGGAAGAGTTGGAGAGAGAGGGAGCATTTCAAAGTGAGCAGTATCAAAAAGACCAACAAACATTAACTAAAAAGAAAATAAGAGTGGTAAGGAGAAGAGAAGCCAAGAGACGGAAGAGGAAGGGCCTGGGGGAATACAGAGAGAAGGGTGACAAAACATAACAAAAATGAAAAAAAGTTAAGAGTGATTTTGTAATGCAGAACATTATTTTGCCATTTAGGTAGTAGGGTCCTTTAAGCCATGGAAAGCAAAAGTTGGTGCTTCATCTTGCCCCAGACCTCTCTCCTTCTAAATCTAAACAATAGTGAAATGTACTCTTGCCTAGCTCAGCATAGCCCATACCTCCAGCGCAAATGGATAAGAAAACTTGCAACATTCACTGCTTTAGATAATTATGTTTATACCAGAGACCAGGACACCTGGACTGCTTTGTGTGATCTCTGACCTGTAATGATGGGGTGCTCGGGTGCTTGTGCTTGTACTTGTGCCCCAATTTCTCCCCAGTCTCAGAAACACTGTCTCTGACAACTGCTCCCCAGCCCAAGGACACTGTGCCTAGCAGTTATTCATGCATGGGCCTCAGCACGACCCTTATCTCTCTCTCCCTGGTACAGCTACACAGAGCTGGGCCCCTCAGGCCCCAGCCCTCAGATCATGTCTCTGGAAGCCTCCCAAGTCCTTAGTAAGTTCCTATCTTGTGAGAAAACTTTCCCTTGTTGCAGAGCATTCTCTCATCAAGACAGAGGGAGAGGGGTGTCCTTGGCCAGCCCAAGGACTCTTCCTCCTGCCAGACTCCAAAGATCCATCCCCCTCCCTGTCCCGTATATTCCCTGTACTTTCCCATCCATAGCCCCCAAAGTCACCTGCACGTTTGGATTACCTCATCAGTGTTCCTGGCATTTCTTTCCCATGCTCTTTTCCATATAAACCCTAGCTCTACCCCTGATTGGGCTGCTTGATTTGGATGTGCATACCCCTTGCAGCCGCACGCTAATAAATCCACATTTTAAATTACATCTGGGTCTCGCTCGCTGATTTCTCGGTACAACAATTTGAACAATACCTAAGACTGGGGTAGAAAAAGCAATAATGCTACAGATATTTGCTATTTCACCAAATCTTTTAGGTAAGAATAATCTTAGAGCCTTTTGCCAGGGGTTTTCCACGGCTGAGGGCGACACAAAAGAGGGATTTACAATTGACTTTCAGATGGGTACAAAAAGCAGAAACAGAGAGCCATCTCCTTCTTTTGCAGGGGTTTGATTCACGTGAAAATCTAGCCATTGGCCCTGAAAAACCAAGAATGAAGATTTAACTCATGTAGCAATGGCCTCTCCTAGTGGCTTTATGATGAAAATAGCAGCCGGCTAAGAAAACTTCTGTAGTAGAGAGTGTCTATGGCTCGATTGATGGAATGTGGTGTAAAAACCAAAGGTATCGATAAGGCTTCTTAAAATACAATCAATAGGCTTCCTATCTCCTACCATTCGGACACCAAACAAAAGTCGAGTGTCACTCCCGTGGTAAATGGAGGGGCACACAGAGAGTATTCACATAAAACACCTCAATATGAAGAGCCGGCTGTCATCAAGGACAGGTAGGACTGAGAAAAGATGGGCTGGTCCCGTGCAAAAGGGAGAGATAACGGTCTGATGGTCCTGGCGTTCCCCTGGCAACCAGAGGCATCCAACAAAGGGGAGAAGGTCCCATGGCATGGAAGGGGAGCGCAGGGCTGCAGACAAGAGTAGACTGTGACCGTGCAGTTGGCACAGCCAGAGGGAACACCGTACAACTACGGACCTGCCCCTGACAGCAGAAGAGAGGGGCGGGAGAGGCTGGGGCCCCGAAGGGCCTGCGCAGGGTCCTCCCGGTGCGCAGGGGGCGCTGCGGCGCAAGAGCAGCGCTTCCGGGGCGGTGCCTCTTGCGGAGCTCCGGGGGCGGGCTCTAGCTTTACCTTCAGCCGACCGGCAGAGGAGGTTCTGTGTGCCCGCGTCCGCCAGCCCTCTCGCCAGCAGTCGCTCAGCTCTCCATCTCTCTGCTCGCCATGGCGCTGCTGCACTCCTGCCGCCTGCTCTCCGGAGCCACCTCCTTCCAGCCGGGCCTCGGCTCGGCCGCCGCCGCCAGAGCCAGGTAAGGAGCTGAGGAGCGCCAGAACGCGCACGAGCCCCGTGGCCGAGGAATTTTGTCCTTCTGAGGCTGCCGGACGCCATGATGACGTCGGGCCCGGGGAGCCGGGACACGAGGCCGGCGAGGCTGTGCGCCCGCGGCTCGCCGATTGGCTCCGGCGGGCCAAGGGGGCGGGACTCGCGGCGGGGGCGCGCGTGCCCTTGAAAGGGCTCGGTGGAGGGCAGAGGGGCGTGCCCCCAGGGCCGGGCACGGTGGTGAACCCCGGGCATCCCTGGGGCCGGCCGGAGAGGGGACGGGGCGGGTAGTGCAGCACGGCCGGACCGGGGTGCTGGAAAGGGGCCAGACCCTCGAGCAGGGGGAGTGGCGCCCCGGGGTCCCTGCTAACTATTTCCTTTGAAGCCTTGTGTCTTTAAACTGAGGAGGGGTCTCGAGGCCTCTGCAGCCGCCCAGCCCCCAGCCTGCTTTCCCCCCCCCCCGCCGCCTTGGATTACTGAACTTCATCCTCCCCACGGAGGAGCGTGCTTCCTAATCCTCCGAAGAAGTGCCGCAGTTTAGGCCCCCGAGCCCGGCCGCGGGACCCTCCCCACTGTGATGCCCGCGGGGTCACGCGGGGCTCAGGTGGCTCCTGCCGCCCCAGACCTTTTCCAGCAGCCCCGGAGAACGAAACGCTTCTCATGGTGATGCTAACACGTTTCCATTCCTAATCCGGTGAATAGCAAAGGGGGGTCTCCAGTTTTTTATGAGCATAAAGGGAGACCAAAAAGTTAGAGAACTGCCCCTTGGATGGATGGATGAAAGCAGCAGACTCGCTTCCTTCTCTTCCCCGATGAGGGTGTCAACGGAAAAGCCTTGGACACGCTTAGGTAGTCTTCTGGACTCGGAGCTGTAGGGGAGCGGGGAGATCACCTGTTATAGAGGTGCTTTTTGTGTGGCAAAGCCTATGCGCTCCTCAGAATAATGTTTTTAAAATACGTTAGATTAAAATATGTAAGTTAAGTTGCATAGGTTTACAAAGGAAGCCGGAACACCAAAATATTTTTTATAAAGAAATGAATTCTCAGACCCCAGATTAAGAACCCTTGATCTCATAATCCAACCCAGTCAATGGATTCCACAAGCGAGATGCAGAGGTTTACCCCAACCTTCCCCACACACAACACAGACACATTTCCTTTCCCCTGATTTGTTTCTCATAATCAGTAGTCAAGGTCTGTTTTTCAGTGTCCTTTTCCCAGTGCATATAAAAATTATATGCATGCTATCCTGTAGTGGTTACAATGGAGCCTATTAAGTGTGCAGTAGTATTATGTCCTTTAAAAATGTACATATCTTAATTCAAAAATTCTTTATTGTTTAAAAAAAATTGCAAACCATCATCTGAGCCTTCAGCAAGTTCTTATCTTCCTGCTGGTCAAGGTCTTGCCTCTGTGTTGATGGCTGCTGGCTGATCAGGGTGGTGGTCTCTGAAGGTTGAGGTGGCTGTGGCAATTTCTTAAAATAAGAGGAGCATGAAATTTGCCTCATCAGCTGACTCTTGCTTTCATTTGAACGCTTAGAGGCCACTGGAGGCTTATTAATTGGTCTAATTTCAAATTATCCGGTGTTATAGTCAGCACACACATTTATGATTCATTGGTCCCCAAAACAATTACAGTAGTGACATCAAAGATCACTGATAGATCATCATAGCAGATATAATAATAATGAAAAAGTTTGAAATATTGCAAGAATTACCAAAACATTACACAGAGATATGGTGTGAGCATATGCTTTTGGAAAAATAGCATCGATAGACTTGCTGAAGGCAGGGTTGCCACAAACCTTCAATTTGTAAAACAGAAAATCACAGTATTGGAAGCACAACAAAACGAGGTATGCCCAGGGACTGGGAAAGTGCTGTTCCAAAGAAAATTTGGGAAAGGAATGGTTAATATGAGATGTACTAGAAGAGGAAAAATTTGAGATTCCACTGTAATAAAATGCTAAGAAACTTCTTTAGATACTAGCGGTGTGAGCAAAAGCAGGAATTACACCCTGTAAAGGTTGAGCATTTTCTGCAAGGCACTAAAGTCATGTTTAACTTATTCTTACAAAATAGGGAAACAAAGTTGGTAAAGGATTGGAGGGTGGTAAGATCTTTTTCATCAAACTTTTTAAAACCTAAATTGCTTTTTGTTGGTGTTATGCTAATTAATATGTTTTCATCCAGTGGCCAAATTACTTGTATTTGAAAAGAGAAATGGTTCCTTTTGACTAGGTGTAATTTTTTTCCTTAAAGCTAAGAAATTCATCTTTCTCTTCTGTTAGGGTGAGCAAGATAGAATAGAATCCTGGAGGAACCTAGTGTGACAGATGAGGGGCTAACTGACTTGCCTGTATGGCCTTCTCATTTTCAACTAATTTTTTTTTTTGCGGGGGGGGGGTGCCTAGGCAACGAGGTGAAGTGACTTGACCAGGTTCACACAGCTAGTAAGTGTCAAGTGCCTGGGACAGGATTTGAACTCAGGTCCTCTTGACTCCAGGGCCACTGCTCTATCCACTGCCCCACCTAGCTGCCTCCCTTATTCAACTATTTCTAATGCGTACCGTGAAATCCACTGTAGAGAAATAAAAGGTAGACTTTGTGCTTAGAGCAGAATTAAGGACATTGAAGTTCACCGGGTGAATCTGGATGTGGAGACTAGGGCTTTTTCAGAACAGCTCCCTGCAGAAAGTAAAATAAAGTTGGGGGCAGGGGGCAATATGTTGGAGGGGAAGGGTACAGAGCCATAAGTTCATAACTTGGTGGGGGAAGGTTTCACATTCTAAAATAAGAGATCGAGGGGCAGCTAGGTGGCACAGTGGGAGAGCACTGGCTCTAAAGTCAGGAGGAGCTGAGTTCAAATATGACCTCAGACCCAACACTTGACACTTACTGGCTGTGTGACCCTGGGTAAGTCACTTAACCCCAATTGCCTAAAAAAACCCCAATAACAATAAAATATGAGTTCATAGTAAGAGTCTGCTCAGATCAGATATAGAGCCATTCACTAAAAATTTCACTCAGTTGACACAGCTGATCTTCAGCCCACAGCATCTAATGGAGAATGTTGTCTACAATATCTCCAGAAGTAGGGTTGTTTGACACCTATAAAGTTAGAAGAGGTTTGAATGAAGCCCTTCTGTTAGCTTCACTTTGTCTGGCAAGTACTCCAAAATGCAAATGCACATCCTTCATTGTGAGTGCACAGTATATTAACATTCAGCCTTCTTGATCTTAGGTAAAATGTGCCTCTACATTTCTTCCCTACCCATCTGCTCAAATACAGTGTAGTCTTGGCTCACTTAGGGAGCAGCCCCCAGGGGATAAGGAAAAAAGGAAAAGGAAAGAAAACATTTAAGTGTCGACCCACCACTTGCCATACTGTACAAATATTTGATCCTCACGACAACTGGGAGGAGGGTGCTATTTTTATTCCTTTTTCAAAATAAAATTGGATAATAAGTGAGTTTTATCTTTGATATTAAAATGACTTTAACGTCCTTCCTCAGCTAGGTGGCAATGAAATAAGTAGGATAGGAACAAGAGCTACCTGTGACTTGTTTAGTCTCATCATTTCCAGTCTATCTGAAATCTATGAGTTGGAAAAAAAAATGAAAACTTTCTTTAGCCTCATTTTAGGCGCCTGTTCTTAGTACCTAATGATGTGTTCATTTCTGGAACTGTGCTAGGACATAACGTAAGGACACCAAGTTCTGAGACTTACACTAGATATTATAGGGATTTTTTCCCCTGGACTTTTAATGTATTTTCTGTCTACCAATTCTACTATTTATAGTATGTGTATTCACATACATGAAATAACGGGTACATCCCCTTCAAATGTGCATTAAGGCATATGACGTTAAAAGTTTTATGAAAACTATAGTTTTCATTTACTGAACACCTGACTCTCTGTTGACTTGCCTCTTACTGACCCTACCTTAAAATGACAGTCCTGCCAGTCCTGCCAAGACAGACAACAAGGCTCCCCAGCTCCCCAGCATGGACTCTAGCAGAACGTTCAAGTTCCTACTGGACCAAATAATGATCAAGAAATCCGGCAAGAAACTATTTCCTCCCCAGAACCACATAAAAAGTTAACCAGAAGCCCAAGTGCAGTAGGAAAGAGTGCCCACCAGTTCCCCCGAAGGTAACCAGACTTCCTGGGATATTGCATCCAGAGATAGAGAACGGCAGGCTCACTGAGAAAGCCTCAGGGTAGGAATTGGAAGCTCCAGGCAAACCAGCGTGGTGCCACATTACTCAGACAGGCTGGGCCCAGGCCTCTGAGAGAGATCTCTGAAGATAGAGTGAACTTCAAAGAGCCAAGGGGCCTCACCCTGAGAGATTGAAGTGCCCACAAGAACTCATGGTACAAGACCAACCACCCCACCTAAAAGCACAGCAGGAGGCAGAGTGAAACCCTGTCCAACAAACGGACCCCCCCTGAAAACTAAAATAGTTCACACAGAAGTCAGTGACTCCGTAAGACAGCAATAAGTATTAGAACAAAATAAAAAGACGGAAAAATAGAAGAAAATGCAAACTAGATGTTGCTTGGTTTTGTTTTTAACTGACCTGGAAAACAGGTCAAGGAGAGATCATTTAAGAATCATTGGACTTCATGAAAACCATGATTTTTTAAAAATCCTGGGCACAGTAGTTCAAGAAGTCATGAAAGAAAACTGCCCAGATCCATAAGATCCAGAAATCAAAATGAAGGTGACAAGAATCCACTGATAACCTAAAAGAAACCCCCGAAGAAAAGGTCCCAGGATCATCTTGGCCAAAATTCAAGGCTCCCATGTCAAAAGAAAAATACAACAGGCATCAAAAAAGAATCCGAATACTCTCCTCTCTAAGTTTTCATGGCACTGTGCTCTCCTACCTGTCTGACATTTATTCTGTCTCCTTTGTTGGATCTTCATCCAAGTCACCCCACTACCTTTGGTGGTACCTCAAGGCTCTGTCCTGGGCCATTTTATCTTATCTCCCTTTATCTCATTTCACTTGGTGATCTCATCAGCTCCCCTGTTTTTAGTTAACATCTATGTGCAGATGACTCAGTACTATCTAGTGACTCTGTTCTCTTTGATTTTCCTTTCACAAGAGACTCCTGTATCCTTCCTCCCAGCATTTTCCCCATCTGTCCATCTCCCCTCCCTGGCTTCCTTCACATCTCAGGTAAAGTCTCATCTTCTGTGCTTCCTTAACGCTAGGGTCTTCTCTCAGAGATGACTTCCAGATTGTCCTGTATTTCTCGTCTGTACCTAATTGTTTGCACATTGTCTCCTCCATCAGACCGAGATTCTTGAGGGCAGGGATCATCTTTTGTCTTTCTTTTGGCGGCCATGGAACCCCAGGGTCCCACCCGCTCCCCTTCCCACACTTAAAACTCTGGCTCGTAGTAGGTGCTTAACAAATGAATGCTGACTGGTAGGAAACCCTGGAATATACTTCCAAAAGGAAAAGAGATAGGATTACAACCGAAAATAACTTAACCAGCAAAGCCGAGTATAACCCTTCAGGGGAGAAAAAGGGGCCTATAATGAACAGAAAAGCTTTAAGATATTCTGGTGGCAAGACCAGAGCCAAGTATGAATTTTGACATTTAACTTGTTCCGAGTTCTTCATGGTGAAACATGCTGCCTACCTTGTGACAGAAAGGCAGTGGACTTAGAGTGCAGATTGAGACATATTTTTTGGACATGTCTAATGTTGGGATTTGTTTTGTATGACTACATGTTTGTAATAAGGGTTTTATTTTTCTTAGTGGGGAGGGTGGTGTTGGACAGGAGACAGGGAGAAAATTTCTTCAAAAACAAAAGTCCAGAGAAACATAGGTCATTATTTTTTTTTTAACAATTAAAAGTTCAAACCTGGCCTCAGATACTTGACACTTACTAGCTGTGTGACCCTGGGCAAGTCACTTAACCCCAATTGCCTCGCAAAATAAATGTCCCTTAACCTCCCCAGTGTATTGAGGGAATTAAATGAGGAAAAACAGAAGACTGGGATTGGGGTGGAGGGGTGGATTAGTTTTGTTCTCAGGGTCTGAATAGAGGGGAAAGGAATATTTCAAGGAATACAGGCATATTCATACACAAAGGAAGAAGGAAGGAGTATAACCACACCATTGGGATTCATGAGAAGAAAACTGTACAAACATGTGGGAAGGGCTGGGAGGAGTAAGGATCGTAGGAACCTCACTCTGGAGTGAAATGGATGGTGGAGAGTTGAGTGTGTGCACCTGTGAGCACACAGACAACAAGTTGGGTGTAGAAACACATCCAATTCAGCTGGGAAACTAGGGGTGGGAGGGGTAGTTAAGAGGGAGGGAATAGCCACAAACAAGAAATGGTGAAATAGAAAATTTCAAAGAATCCTGGATAGTGAGAACTGATGCAGGGTGAAGGGAGCAGAACCAGAAGTTTATGCAAGTATCATAAAGGTCCAGGAGACTGAAGGACTCTTAGAGCATTGACCAGTTGTGTCTTCTGAGGACCCATTTCACAGACCTAATGAACAAGGTGTAGAGGCATGCATCTTTGGACCTGGACACTGGCTGCCTTCGCTTGGCTCATTTGTCACAAAAGGGAAGGGAGAGGATTGTCCCTTTGCATTAATGGGGAAGGAGGGCAACATAGGGAGGGTGAATTAACAATAGGGATGCAAAAAAAAGACCATTGTGCACAGAACAGAAAGAAACAGAGGAGCAGGGCAGTTTTGAAAGTAACATGTAGGAAAGCATCTGGATTAGCAACTTAGTAATAATGATTAGCAGATGGAAAACAACTTTCAGGTATCATCAAGTCAACAAACATTAAACCCCAGTTACTATGTGGCATACATTTTAAGTGCAAGGGATAAGAAGAAAAGGCAAAAAACAATCCCTGATCTCTAGGAGCTCACAGTCTAATGGGTGAGACAATGTGCAAAAAAAAATGATGTGCTATAGAAGATAGAGAAGAAGCATGAGATGTAGCCCCTTTTCCTGGGAAACTTGAGTTTCTTCCTCATTTTTCTTCCAAAATTTGCTAGCATTCCTAATAAAGCCAAACTGTAATTTGCATGTTTCCTCCATGTTCTTTTTAAATTGAATGTTGTCTGTTGTGTCAGTAATGAAAATGTACTTTCCAGACCCCCACACACAAAAGGTGCCTTTTGCAAAAACCATCAAGTAGTGTGACAGTGAGTGATAGTACAGCATTACTTTCTACTTTTGTAGTTTACCAATGAATAGACAAAAAGCATATTTCCTTAAACGGCAATGGTATGGTACTATTGTGGACTAGTTTTTTGCCTGAATTTTGTTCCCTCTTGTTAACTTTATATGGTATATGGGATGGATCTTGTTCTCTTAACTATATTTTCTTCAGTCTTCATTACATACAAGCCATCCTATATTTCTTTGCATAACATAGTTTGTTCAGATATTTTCGTCATTTGGTAAATTTTCTTGAACTGCTTTCTGGTGGAGGTATGAGTAGTAAAACTGCCCAAAGCCAAGTAGTGGAAGTGATAAGAGCAGAAAGTAAAAAAAACCTGGAAAGTCCAGAAATTAAATCTGCCCCCAGAATAACAGTCTTATCTCATATTGGTAATAAGGATTTAGAGCTCAGAAGGATTTTAGAGAGAATCTGGGCCACATAGGAAGGGATCCCTTTCAAAATACATTGACATAGAAAACCACAAATTAACATCATCTGTGTTGTATTTCTATTTGTTTTGTTCAAAATTTCCCAGTTACGTTTTAATTTGTTTGGGGCAGTCCTCTGCTCTAGGCCAATGACCTCATTTCCCCATGAGAAAATGGAACCCAGAGAAGGGAACTGGCCTCCTGGGTAGCCTTGGGCAGATAAGTAACAGAGCTGGGTTTTAAAATCCAGTGCTGTTTCTGCCACATCAAGAATTTTTGCCCAATTGTGGGAGCACAGACTTGGTATTGAATAGTTTCATTTAACCCTGTAACCAACTGTGCTGACCCTTCTTGTGTAGAGCAATTGGAAGAGTGAGCCATTGAGGAAGAGCAAGTTTCTTTGGTAGAACAATTAAGTAGGTTGGTCAACGAGGTGAGCCAAAGATAGCGTACTTGGAACTATGCTTCTCTAATAGGCATTTAATAAATATTTGATCTCATTTGGCAGCTAATTGCCCAGCAAACCTAGACTAAGTTCTTTTATCTAGAGCGGGGATGAGGAACCTGTGACCCGTGACCTTGAGGCCAAAGGTTCCCCACCCCTGAGCTAGAGTCACCTGGAAACATGAGAGAACTGAAGTCTTGAATATGCAATGGTATAAAATGCTTTCTCATAAAGAAGTAATAGAACCTTTCTTATGTTAGTGGGTTATGCCTTGAAGCATTTTTATATCTTGTTAAACACTTGGAATTCTATAAAGCTCATTTTGCCAGAAGGCTGGTCATGAGACCAAGAAGTACATGTGCTTGCCCTTTCTGTAAAAGAGATCCCCTGCCTGCCTTCTCACTTGGAGATTGAACTACTAAATTAGGGCTCTTTTTATTCTTTTTTTTTTTTTTTTGGAACTTGAGTTGGGGAAGGGTGGATGACTTCATTGATGTCCTGTAATTCTCATTTTAGCTCTTGGTGGACCCACGTAGAGATGGGCCCCCCTGACCCTATCTTGGGGGTTACGGAAGCATTTAAGAGGGACACTAACAGCAAGAAGATGAATCTGGGAGTTGGGGCCTACCGAGATGACAGTGGGAAGCCTTATGTTCTTCCAAGTGTCCGTAAGGTGAGCTTGGCGTGGTCACTTTGGTACAGAGCATTGAAGGGAATTAGAAGACACGGGTTCTGGTTCTAATTTTAGTCTCCTTGGGCCTTGTAGTTTCCCATTTTTAAAATGAAGGGACTGAGCTAAATGGTCTCTAAGCAGAGTTACACAGAAAGCATTTGTGTGCCATGGGCTCATTGGAAAATTGTGCCTCTGATGTGTTACTCTCCATTTCAGATTTCCAGTGTAAACCTAACCATATGTGCCATATGGAGTAGAATTTTTGGAATTAACATGTATGCACTTAGAATGCATAATGAAAGGCAGCCTGACAGTGAACAGAAGGGGGCCAGCTTTGGGGCCAGAGTGACCTTTCAGGGCTCCAGACCACTCTTAAGACAAAGAATCACCCTCTGCATTTGGGAAGGGCAGTCTCCTCACCAGGGAGCTCTCATACTGATGAAATCTCAAGTCCAGACTTATTGGTTGTTGTTTGAAAGATGCAGCACATTCTGTGGCATCATGAAGACATTACGCTCCTCAGAACCAGCTTTTTGCATGACATCATGTGCTGGGGGTGGGGAACAAGGGTGGCAGCCAGGGTTTCAGGAGAATCTCTGACATCTTCCTGTTCCTCCATTGCAGGCAGAGGCTCAAATTGCAGGGAAGAACATGGACAAAGAGTACCTGCCCATCGCAGGACTGGCTGAATTTTGCAAGGCATCCGCAGAGTTGGCCCTGGGTGAAAATAATGAGGTTCTGAAAAGCAGTCGAGTAAGTCAAGGAAATTTCCACTTCCGTAAATGCCAGGGCTTCATTTTTGTTTCTCCCATTAACTTTACGCTCAAATGTCTGTAGTGATTCTTCAGAAGTGGCCACAATCACAGTTTCAGGGTTGTGCCAGTTATTGATTTGCTAATCAGTAAGTTTTGTCCCGTCTACTTTCAGCCTACGTTTCTGTTGCTTTTACATAGAATGTATTTGAGAAATCTCAGTATAGACCTGAGGGTCCAGTCATGTGCACCCCTGGTATTGTAAGCCCCCAAATCCTAAATAGAGGAATAGAAAGGGACTTGTCACACATTGAGAAACATGGGCCTACCCTTCCTTGAGACTGACCTTGGGAAATGGAGGAAGAGATGAGGTTTCTTGAAGTTCTTCTAGGCACTTGCTTGCCTTTTTTATTTTTTAAGTTAACTAGTCTTACCTACTAGCAAGATATAGTTACATTAGTCAAACTGAGAGCCATTCCTTTGACAGAAGCCTGGCACATGTGGGCAGGTGGTATACAGCCAGGTAATAAAAGAGGCACCAACCAGGTAAGGACGATTGGCTTGGCAGCAGTTTAAACTAAGCAAAGTGAACACAGGGCCAGAGTAAATCATTACTGGCAGTAAACAAGTCCTGTTTGTAAAGCCAACTGACCTAAGGTCGTGTGTGTTAGAGCTCATAAGCTCAGGAAAAAAGCAAACAGTGTCTTCCGTGACCCGAGTAATAACATTAAAAGCCCTGATTTGTGGGGGGCGGGTGGTTGAGTCAGCAGACCTTAGAACTCTTGGTGTTTGATTTAGGCACTTTGGGTCCCAATTTGCGTATTACCACTGACTTGGGGTCTGTGCCAGTTTCTCCGTCTTCATGTTGGAGGCAAAATCATGGCATAGTCATTAGGATTTCACCAGTATTTGGAGATTTCAGTGTCTTTGCATCTAGAGTTAACTTGTAATCTGAAGGATGATTTTGTAATATCCAACATGCCTAAGATTGCAGAGGGAAATGTAGGTTTGTGGTTTGGGGTTTCTGTTGTTTTTAATTTAGTCCAAGGAACTCTATATTAAGCATTTATGTAGCACTTGAAGCACTTGCAAAGCATTTTGCAAATATTATCTTGTTTGATCCTTGCAACAACCCTGGGAGGTAGGTGCTGCTATTATCTCCATTCTACAGTTGAGGAAACTCAGGCAGACAAGGATTAAGTTACTCACCATGGGTCACACAGCTTAGGAAGAGTCTGGGGCTGGCTTTGAACTCAGGTCTTCCTGACTGCAGGTACCACACGCTATCTGCTGAGCAAACAGACTATTTGCTAGATTGCTGGCTTTGTGTCTTTGAGCTCTGCCACCTCTCCCCCACATTCTGAAAGCCAGGGGCCGCAGAACACAGGCTGTGAAAGGTCCAGCCAAGCTGGAAAGTCTTTGGTTGTGGGTCCATGAACAGGCTCTTTCTCCCAGCTAAGGCCTCTACCCGCTGCAAGGTGATGAGTCTTTCATAAGCGTCAACTCTTTTAAAAAAAAAAAAACATTGGTTAGCTGTAGAAAAACTAGGGTCTGTATCATTGGGAAGTGTGCCCACAAATGGCATCACAGATCCATGACATGCAAGTGACCCTTGGAGAAGCCATTGAAACTCTGAGCTTCAGTTTCCCAGCCTGTAATAACAGCTAAGACTTTGGGTTTGAAGGAGCTTTAAAAGTCACCTCATCTTCATTTGAAGATGGGGCCAGGGCCGCAGAAGTAGCAGGTAGCCAAGCCTAGATTCGGGGCCCTGGTGGTGGGAGGCAGGCTGGTCACTCTTGGATGGCTCTCAAATAAGAGGCTAATGTTGACCCCCCTTTAGCACCTTATTTCCATCTATGTGTAAGGCCAAGGAAAAGTTCTTGACTTCTATATACCTTCTTATATCCTGTATATTATGAAAGTTTTATAAACTTAAAAGCCTTCTGAAATTAATTCAGCTTTTGTGCTCAGGTGAGACTGGTTGGTCAACCCATCTCATTGCTATGTGAATGGGTAGTAGGGCTTAGTCCAGTGACTGCCTATTCAAGGTCTCACTTTGGAATGTGATTTCAGCTTCTAAAATGAGGTATGGTATTAGGGGCAGTGGTGGCTAACTGTTCTGCTCTATTTAAATCATGTTAATTAATACTGTACAAAGAGGTCCTCTCTTTGACTGGCTTTTTTGTCTCTTTTCTTAGAATGCCACCGTGCAGACCATTTCTGGAACTGGAGCACTGAGAGTGGGAGCCAGCTTTCTGGTGAGCGTAGAACTCTTGGGTTTGATAACGCTCCTTTTCAAATGAAAAGCACTGCTTCTCTTCTTGGATTAGAGTTTTACAAAGTACTTCTTAGTAGAAGGGAATCTTTCCAGGGAAGGCAAATAAACAGTGATAACTGTGATATTTAAATATTTCTTTTCTTTATTTTTTCTCTCTTGCCCATTCCTCGCCACATCTTTTAGCAACGGTTCTTCAAATTTAGCCGGGAAGTCTATCTCCCAAAACCATCCTGGGGAAATCACACTCCCATCTTCAGGGATGCTGGCATGCAGCTGAATGGCTATCGCTACTACGACCCCAAGACTTGTGGCTTTGACTTCACTGGAGCCTTGGAAGACATTTCAGTAAGTATGGCTTTCAGGGAAGAGGAAGAAGCACATGGAAAAAATGGTGGACAGTGGGTGTAGGTTTCTTGAAACACACTGACGCGTCACATTCAGTTCAACCAGTTTTTAAATATTAAATGCCTGGTAGGTGCAAGACCCTGAGAATACAAGGATACAGACTGGTATAGCCCCTGCCTTCAAGAAGCTGGTGTTGTACACATTTGAGGTTGCTTTTGTAGCTGATGCAATATGGCCCATTCACCGTAAAGCAACTTCAAGAGTTAATGGTGTGTTTGTTTTTAATCCTCTGTGTAGAAAATTCCAGAGCAGAGTGTCATCCTTCTGCATGCCTGTGCTCACAACCCCACTGGAGTCGATCCTCGTCCTGAGCAGTGGAAAGAAATAGCATCCTTGGTAAAGGTGCGTTGTCTAGGATGGGCCGGCCACACGCAGCAAGATAATCACAGCAGAAATTGGCTACAGTTGAACTTGCACTGGGTTTATACACCCAGGCGAACTGGGTGGGATTTGGAGGTGACAGAAATGTAGCGTTAATTAGAATGATTGTGGAAGGGAAGCACATCACGGTCCCTTCATCTCTGGTTCCCTCTTACGAGAACTCTAGCAGCCAAAGCCTGGTAACATCTCAGCACGGTACCTGACGGGGTTATTGTAGCAAGTCAATAAGATCTCTCTAGTGGCAACGTACTTTATGGGAGGCGGCTTGTTACAGTGTAAAGAGCCCTGGGATTGGAGTCAGGGAAAACTGAGTTCAGATCCTGCCTCATACACTTTATGGCTGTGTGACCCTGGGCACATTCCTGAATCTGTATACATCTGCATAACCAGGATAATGGTACCTAGTGACACAGTTGTTGTGAGGATTAAATGTTATCACGTCTATAAAGTTCTTTGTAAATCTTAGTAGCTCATGTTTCTGTAGCTCATGATTATTAAAAAGCATGGGATTAGCTCTGGCTAACTAGGATGTTGAAGAAATTAAATTGATTCCACATCATTTTATAATTGATTCTGTTCTGTAATTGATCCTGTCTTGTATTACTACCTCACTTTTTCTTCAAGTTCATTTAAAGGTATAATTGTTTTTTAAAAAAATTGTTATCTACCATACCTTATCTTTAAAGACCTACAAGCTGATCTGGTAAATTTCCACGAGATATATTGTCTATCCTTGCCTGTCCTTATACAATTAAGGAGAGTCTTATCTCCATAACAAGATCTGAAAGATGGGGTGGGTCCCATAAAACAATTACCATTCCTTAATTGTCAAAGAGGGGTGTTACTAGCCTCATGTGGGTGCTAGCCTGATTTCTTTAAAATAGTCACCTCCCCACCCTCACGATGCTGTATGCCCTGTAACCAAATTGTCTTCCCCAACCACCCAACTCCCCAGAATTCATAGTAAGGCTGAGGAGCCCTACCGCAGCATCTTTTGGTCATTAAGAGAGGCCATTGATGCAGTTTATTGGTTCCCGCTAACCTAACTAATAAAGTATTGTCTCTCGGTTCACCTTAAATTTCTAACATAACAATATTTAAAATGTACGCATTTAGAGTACATGGTGATGCCACTCAGTGAAATGCAGTCAGGTAAGATTTCTCTGTGGAATCTTCAAAATGACTAATGAAAACTTTGTTCTGATTCATTCGTAGCAAAGGAAACTCTTTGCCTTTTTTGACATGGCATACCAAGGCTTTGCCAGTGGAGATGGCAACAGGGATGCCTGGGCTGTTCGCCACTTCATTGATCAGGGCATTAATGTGGCTCTCTGTCAGTCATATGCCAAGAACATGGGCCTGTATGGTAAGCAGGGATACTTGGTTGATTGGTTTTCCCATTGGGTTCCAAGAAGGATTAGGGGTGGCAGATACTCTATAGAGGGAGACTTGGAATTCATTTGATGTAGCCCTGTTTTTCATATTACATTTTACCTATTAGAAAAAACTTGGGATCTAGAGGAATTAACTGACAGTTTTGTCAGATTAGTCATTGTTGCCGTGTTAACTTCTTCCCAAGTATCTAATCCAGTAAAGATAACCAGCTACCTCTCTTGTTCAGTAAACTGGTCTGCGTGGAATAGTTGGAAGTGACCTAGTGATAATGTTCATCATTGTGTCCTGTAGAAATGGACTAATCCTGTTTTGTTTTGGGGGGGGTAGGGGGGAGCATCATCTAGGCTTCTTTTGTGCCTGGATCAGTTATCACACGTTGGTCAGAATGACTTTTTTCCGTCAAGGACAAATTGTTTGTGGTGCCTCTGCTTACAGAAAACTGTGGGGTAAATTCAGTGTCTGCTCTGGCAAAGTAAATGTTAAAAGGTCTAGGTGATGTGTAACCTGCCTTGTCTTCCAGGTGAACGTGTGGGGAGCCTTTACCATGATTTGTAAAGATGCTGATGAAGCCAAAAGGGTAGAATCCCAGTTGAAAATCCTGATTCGTCCCATGTATTCCAACCCCCCTCTCAATGGGGCCCGAATTGCCACCACAATCCTGAATAGTCCTGATCTGAGGAGCCAATGGTAAATGTCCGGTGCTACTTCCTGTTCTCTGACCCATGCCTCCAGCTGCCCTTCAGAGCTATAGAAATAGCTCTGAATAGTATTGGCTTCCAGTGCGGTTTAGAAATGGCCAGTTACCTTATGGGAGGCACAGTCATCTAAGACCATAGTTTGAGAGTAGAAGGAGGTCATCTAATCTGAGGCCCAGAGAAGCAAAATGATTTGAACCCAAGACCTCTAATTATAAATCCCTTTCCTATATAGCACGCTACCTCATTTTGTCCCTGTAGTCATGTGACACCTTTTCCCATACCAGGGAAATTTTAGACGAGACAAAAACCTGTGAGGCAATCATAACATTTCTCATGCCAACATTTCTATGTACTTTGAACATTGAAACCCAAAGGCCCCTAGGGAAGAGTTCAAATTGACACAGTGAATGTAGCAAGGCACCCTTACTTTTCCCTTTGGTAACGTCTAGGATTGATTTTAAATGATGTTCTCTAGAAATGTATTAAGTACAACATGTAGGATTCTCAAAGGGCCTAGACTCCAAGTAGCCTAGAATGTAAGAAGTAAATGGCTTATGCAAGATGCTGTCTACTGTCTCTTCTTAGGGGGAAAAAAATAATAAAATGAAGAGGGGCCCTCTCTCCATAGCTAACTAGTATCTAGAGCTTTACAGAATCAGCAGAAAAGGAGTTAATGGTTCACCAGCTCCATTGACCAACTTGTCTGCATCCTTAGACATCAGTGACTGCAGCTGCCTTGGTCAAAATAGCGTTCTTCCCAGGCAGAGCAGAAGGCTGTGAGACGGTCTCCTCACATGGGAGTTAGAATTAACCATGGCTCCTGTCAGAAGGAGGCTGGAGTTGAATGGAGTGATTCTCTTTTTCTTCTAGGTTGCAAGAGGTCAAAGGCATGGCAGATCGCATCATTGGCATGCGAACCCAGCTGGTTACCAACCTCAAGAAAGAAGGCTCCTCCCACAACTGGCAGCACATCACTGACCAGATTGGCATGTTTTGTTTCACGGGCCTGAAACCTGAGCAGGTGTGTGGGCTGTCGGAAGACTCCCTCCAGGGTCAAGGGTGGGGTTGTCATGAGGGTTGTTGAGATGTTCTGCAGGTTAAAGGGGGAAAGGGCTTATGAGAAAGAGGAGAAAGACTGAGTCTTTTTCCTTAGAATAACAATGTTAAACAAGCTGTGATTGTTTGCAAGGAAAACACGGTTCTTTCTGATTTTTCTATTAAATGCTACATGTAGGATTTTTAACCTGTGATTTGTGTAAGGCTTTACCTTTTTACCTCTAGCGTCATTATATGTGGTCTTCTTCTTTGTCATTTTAAAGCAGCATAATATGCTAGAAATTGCAGAGAGAGCATGTATGATAGATAGCAATGCACTTTAGTTGATCAGGAGGTAAGTCTTCCCAAACCAGTAAGCAATGCCCAGTCCCCTCTCTTTTTGCAGGTGGAACGGCTGATCAAGGAATTCTCCATCTATATGACAAAAGATGGCCGCATTTCCGTAGCAGGCGTCACATCAGGCAACGTGGGCTACCTTGCCCATGCCATTCACCAAGTAACCAAGTAATTCTGCCTGGCGAGACGGAGCAGAGACGACCTTCCCACCTCCAGACTCTGCTGGCTGAGATCCAGAGAGATGATGGAGCTGGCGAAGATAGGAGCGGCGTGAGAATTTCTTTCAACCACAGTGCTTAATGCTCAGCCATTGAAAGGGTCTCAGGACAAGACCTGAGAGTAGGCTAAAGGCATCCAGAACTAGTGTTTGGAGCTTTGGGGGTCTAACCCGAACTCCCCAACCCATCCTCCACAACTTTTCCAAAACATTTTATGTTTACAGGAACTCTACCAAAAATCCCACCCAAAAATCACAAGTGCTCGCCCTCTCCCCTTCCCCCAGTCTTAAATCTCTGGCATTACAGTGTTGTTCGAGAGCTTTAATCTAGGTAACAAATATCACTTAGCCCGCTGAACCAAAATCTCTGTGGTGCTAAAAGCTCCCAAAGAAGGCTTGCCCAGTTCTGGCTCCCAGCTCTAATGAGAGGCCTCCCATGGCTGATAGAGGCACCTCACATCGCAGTTTGTTTTTGGAAATCGTAGATGCTGCTGTTGCACAGCATCTTGGCTTCCAGAAATAACAGGAAAGGGAAGTGGCTCTCACCCATTGGACAGCTAAGACTTTTAACTCTCCCCTCCTCCCCAATTTTTATTGCTGTCCTTTCCCTTTGACCCAAAGATCCAAATCTGCCCTAATTTCTCTCCCTCCCTCTGCTCAAATTAACCTTCAGACTCTTCCTATCAGGATCCATATACTTGGAGAATTAAGTAAAATGTAATTTAAGAAATGAGCATGTGCTCTCCTCCCCTTTCTCAGCAAAAGATGGAGGAGGGGAATTCGATAAAATGTCTGCACTTTAATATTGGTGTCATTGTAAAGTTTTTCATCGTCCCTGTTTCTGCCACCTCCCCACCAGACCTCATCAGTGTGGTTGTGCACCAAATAGCCTGTTCGTGACAAGTCTGTATGGAGCATTCAGTCCTGGGAGATGGGTATTGTGAGCTGTGGTTGTAAGCTTCTCTGTGTTGCTGGCTGAATTCAAAGATCACCCTCCATTGTAATCACATAGGCCTTTATGCAGCCTGGTTTCCCTGTTACAATAAAATTATTGTAGATTGGATCACTGTCTCCAAGGCTTTTTTTTCAAGGAGAAGCAGGGGTGGGAAAAGGTATCAGCTGCAGTAGCCTATAACTAACACTATATTCAGCTCACCCCAAAAAGCTAATGAATATATGATGATAATCTGGGCCAAAGTTGAAACCAAACTTGCGCATTCATCTTTTTTTGTGCAAATTGTCCTCTGCAAATATATTGGTTCTCTGTGAGGTAACCACCAGAAGGGAAAGTAATGTTGCTGCTAGGATACTTTTGGAGGTAGGCTGTGGATGATAGCACAATATTTAGTAGTTTCCCTGCCCTGCTTTCACATTGTTCCTTTGCAGCTATTGCTGCCTGGTATGTGCACAATATTCCTTATGGGGATGCTGTGTGTCTCCAGTCGATTGGCCCTTAACCAAGGGGAAACAAGACTTGGGTTGTCTGTTATTTTAGGGTTCTGATTTCTTCCCCTCAAACCCAACATTGATCCTGCATGCCTCAGGACCCTGAACTTGAGGAGCAAAGCACAACCTTAATACTCTGCTCTTCTGCTTCCTTCAAGCTGCTGAATGGTTACTCAGAGTTGTTAAAAAGCTTTCCTTTCATGGAGATTGACTCGACAGAATGTTTTTGGAAAATAAACCTGAGGGAAAATAATTATTCTGTCCTTCCCCTTCCTTCCTTAATGTATGTCTGAAGGAGCTGGCCTCCTTCCATTGAATGGTCATTCGGTGTTTTTAGAGCCTACAGTGGGAGGGGCTGAAAACTGGCTTCCAACCATAACTTGGCAAGAAATTTGACCACCCCGAGAGTCTTATTTTTAAGTACATGTGTTCATCTTGGGCTGATGCCCAGGTTTTTTTTTCCTGGTTTTTTTTTTCTGAAAGGAATTACATGGTATTTTGATCATGTTACATTTCTCAGGAGGATAGAATCTTTGCTTGCGATGCTTCTTCTACTTCAAGTTGTCCTGTTGTGTATCTGGTCACTGGACCCAGATGGCTCTGGAGGAGAAAGTGAGGCTGGTGACTTTGCACAGCCTTCCCTCACTTAAATCCAATTCACTTGCATGTCACAGCATTGCCTTCCTGACGTAATGGTCCTTTTCCAGAACTAAGGACAAACAACTTCTCAGACTTGTGGGATCCTTTGTGGGATCCGGTCGGGGACACTTAACACCCATTTAGCCAAATTTTCCCTAGTTACTCCCAAGCTTCTCCACAAAACAGTGACCATAACTTTCTTCTATTTCTCAGGAATGTTTATAGTCCTAAAATTGTATTAGTATCTCGAATCCTAAAGAAATACTGATATTTATAAAAATACTGTTTTGCACAAATCACTTCCCTGCTTCTTGTTGCTTGTAAAGTTGGCCTACTTCTCAGCCCAACGTTAGAGGTCCTTTGAGAGCTGACCTTGACCTTTTGCATTCTCCAGAGACCTTCTAGTATCTTTATCTTCCCAAAGCCCTGTGATATTTCTATCTTGCTTTTGCCCAAACTTTTCTATCTGAAATGCATACCCCTTCCTTCTCCCATTTTTTCACATCCTACCCCTCATTCAGCAAGCATTTATCAAGTGCTTGCTATGTGCCAAGTAAGGAGGGAGGTGGATAAGCATTTATTAAGCTCCTACTATGTGCCAGGCACTGTTAAGCACTTACAAATATTCTCACTTCACCCTCATAACAATCCTGTAAGGTAGGAGGAAAAGTGCCCTGTTTTACAGATGAGGAAACGTGAGAAATGAAGTGACTTGCCCACTGGGTTCACATAGCTAAGTAAGTGAGGTCTTCCTGACTCCACTCCCAGCACTCTATCCATGAGCTGTCAGCTACCTACAGTTTACAACAAAAAGATGGGAAGATTACATATGTAATCTTAGGGGGTGAAGGCTTCACTTAGAAGCGTGACACTTGAACTGAGGTTGGAAAGAAATTAGAGAGTCTAAGAAATGGGCATGAGGAGGCAGGCCACATTCCAGCCAAGGGAACAGCCAGGGCGGAGGCACAGAGTGTCCTACACAGAAGAAGAGCCAGTTTGGCGGGACTATAGTGATCTTTTAAGGGGAGTAAAAAGGCCAGTTGTGAAGGGCTTTTTATGGAAAACAGCAGTGTGTATTTGATTCTAGAGGGAACAGAATCAGACTGACTGACCAGGGGTTACGAGAATCCCTGGAGAAAGGGGAAGCAAGAAAATACAAAATGTTCAATGAAATGACACCTAGAAAGGACAGAATAGCAAAGATCCAATAGGTTAGAATAGAATCAGTAAACTGTATCCTAGAAAATTATATAAATATTACCTATTTTTAAAAATATTTTTAAAATAGGTAAACCTTATCAAAGAACTGGACTCCCTGAAAATAAGAAAGGGCCAAAGAGAAGAAATATTAAAACAAGGGTCGGGAAGTAAGAGGAGAGAAAGTGTGGAATAGTGGATAGAGAGTGGAGATCAATCAGAAACACTTGGGTTCAGTTCTAATCTCTTGACATGTCCTGGCTGTGTGACCCCGGACAAGAAAATGTCTCTCTCATTGGTAAAGGTTCCCCACCAGGAGCTGCTCCCAACATCTTTGATATTAAAGATCTACAGTAGTTTTAAAAAATATATTACAAGTGGAGGTAACAAATGTAGACAGTTCCAGGGTTTTTTCCCTGGGAGTTTCACCAAGGAAAAGAGGAGAGATAAAGCCTTTTGAGGCAATGAATGGGGAGACCTGGGCATATTTGTAGACAGAGTGGAAAGACCCAGCGACTTGATAAATATTAAGTATTCGTGTGCCAATTAGCATACTAAGCACTGGGGATACAAAGGAAGGTTAACAGACAGTCCCCATACTCAGAAGATGGAGAGCATGAGAAGAAAAGGTGAAAATGAAGGGGATTTGTCCTTTATGGAATGGACATTGCAGGTGAGGGAATAAGCATTTCACTGGCATCTACTGTGTACCCAGCACTTTTATAAATATATATCATTGGATTCTTGTAGCAGCTCTAGAAAGTGGGTGCTTTAATTATCCCCATATTACACTGGAAGAAACTGAGGTTGTGACTTGCACCAAAGTCGCCAACTATCAAGTGTCCAAAGCTGGATCTGATCCCAGTTCTTTCTGATTCCAGGCCCAGTGCTTTGTGCACAGCACCCAGCTGTCTCTGTTCTCCAGCCTCAAGGAGAGGGCCATGGAGGGCCATCTCAGTAAAGTGATATGAGCTTCTACTGCAATAGCCCTAAGGTTGAAATTAAGAGCTGGGTTTTAACCTGAGCTCCCAACCAATGTGCCATTTCAGCAATACCATTTTCCTTCATAAAATAGACTAGAAAAGCATTGAGGTGCCACTAACATCTTGACCTCACTCAACTGCTGGGTTGAAAGAGATTAAATTCAACCCAACATTTTTTGTCATTAATATTCACAGGGATGCAAATGACCAAATAGTAACAGAGCTGACACAATTTGGAAAGAACTTGGAGGGATTTTCAGGCTGTGAAACCCAGCACTCCAGTTGACTCATTACTGCCATGTTCAGGGCTCACCTCTCCCACCCACCACGTCTTCAGAGGATTCATGCACACTTCAGGTTAGCAGGGGACCTAACTGGGGCACTAATCTCTGGTGGTAGGGACCAAATGAAAGCCACATATCAAAGGCATCCCATGTTCAGAGCTGAGCTACTTGGAAGGAAGGAAGTGCTACCAGCTGAGAGGCTTTACTTTAAAATAAGTTGGTTTTATTCAGGCTGGTGCCACAGGTTAGGGAACCTGGGTTAGAAATAACAGCGATGGTAAGTCTTTACTCAAAGGCCAATTTCCCTTTTAAATCCATTCCTGCTGGCCTTCTACAAGTGCTATGGGGAGAGGGCAGGGGATGCTGGCAGCTAATCATGAAGCCTCTGAATTGTACTGCTTCCTACAGGCCTAGCAGTCGAAGAGAAATCACTTCTAAGGGGCATATTGATGTAAGTCCCTGTGACTTTTGCCAGGCAGAGATCAGAATAGGGACAGGGAGGGATGGGTAGAGCTGGGCATCTTTTGCAAGAAAACAGACAATGCTACAAAAGCACCATAGGACATTTCCGATGCTGTTATTTTATTTTTTCAAAACGAAACTTATAAAAATGGCATTTAGAGAGTCAGTGAGCAAGGGTCAACTGTGAATACAATGGAGGCAATGTTCAGAATTGGCAGTCAGCCACTGCCACACTGCAGGAAGGTCTTTAATCTGTTTTAGGTCACCAACTGGTCCCTGTAGGATCCTTCCTACCACCTGCCACCATGGATTACTAGTTACTATGTTGAGGACAGTGATAAAATGTCCAATCTTTGAGCAAGCAGGGCTGAAAAGTTCCCTTTTGTGAACAAACTGATTGCTACTATGTTATATTTGTATTTATGTGTGTGTGTGTGTGTGTGTGTGTGTGTGTGTGTATCTCAAATCATGCAACATAACATAACTTTCCTTTGCTATGAATGCATATCTGTCTGTATGATTTTGGTCAACTCTTCAGTAAACTACC